AAGCTACGGTCAAGCTAGTGGCTGAGCTAAGGGAACCGGAAACTTGGCTCACCACAAGCATCTTCATTAGGTGCCAAAACATTAAGTAATGACCCTGTAGTGTCTGAAACTTAGATAGAAATCCAATTCTCTTTACTTTTCTCCTGACTAATTGCTGGCTGGTGTGTTAGTGTCCGGTGGCCACAGGTGTAACATATTAGTTGCCACTAACACCACTGTTCCCAGCTATAACCATCTGGCTTCTATCCGCTGCTCCTGAGACATACCTAAGGGTCTCAGCTTACCACAGTCTTCTGAAGATGTTCAATTTCCATGTGGCTGATCTACTTCGCCTAGACTCACAATATAATCCTGGATTACAGATGAGGTCCAACAATCCAAGGGGATCGATCTGAAAGCACAGGTAGGTTCAAAAAGGCAGAAACAGTCCCCTGGACAAAAACTGGCTTGTTATGATGTAGTGGTTGGGAATTATTTCTGTTTGTGATAAAAGCTTCGGGGGTGGGGGTGACTATGACGGACCCTGCAGGAACACATAAAGATGATATCTAGACTACCCTAGAGACCAGAGGGCAATGTAGAAAGGTGTGGGCAGTGGATGAACTTCTTGTGTATCACCAGGATTTATAGGTTCGACAAATGATTGCGTTTCAGTTGCGCGCCCCCCCCCCCAAAACAAAAAAATCCTCCAAAATACAGAGATGTCTGATGCCCAAGGAATACCACGTGGAGCCAATGTCATGAAGGGGCTCTCAAGTCCCCATCCTGAACATTCGTTCCTATAGGTGCTGCCGGCCGTCTGCCAGTCCACTCTAGGGCAGGCGGGTCCCGACCCCTTGCCTGCAAGTCTCCAGTGTATGTCCTTTCTGATCTGCAGTTTGGAAGGTCAGTCAGGCACCAGTGTGGACAGCGCTCTCCCAGCAGAAGACAAGGAGTATTTCTGGAGCAGGTCTGAGCAGCCCTTTCCGCCTCCTCTCCCCGACTCTCCACCTTTGGCCCTCCTTTGGACTCGGTGAGCCTTTGGCACCCATCAGTGCAAACAATTATGAGTCAAACCTCCAGGTACTAAAGTTTTACTGGCCTCCGAATCAGCAGTACCCGTGGCTAAGGACAGCCAAGGCTTAACTCAGTAGTGATTCAGGTAGATAACCTTCCCAAACTCTAGGAGCGCTCCCTCCCACCCTGCCTTCGCCACCATTGGAAGCCTCTCTGTTTGTTGTGTTTACTTCCTGCTCATTTCACACAAATGCTGACCTCTAATGTATCATGATAAAACTGAAACAATATCAAGAATAACACATTTATAGTCAAGAAAATAAAATTTGCTTTCCTCTCCCAAATCCCATCCCTCAATAGAAAAGAAGACAACAGAAGAAAACATACCCATTCATTTTCAAGGGCCTGGCTATTTAGTACACGGATGATTCCTGTTAATTGGGGTTGATCCCCACTACAGAGAAGAGGTGCTTGCCTTGTGGGGGGCCCTACTCTGACCACCTGGGCACACCCAGCTCTAAGATCCTCTGCACAGAAGAGCCACACCGTGCGCCACAGCACTGACACGACCCTCGGGCCAGCAGGCCGCTGGACGCGGGGAGCACAGCATGCCGGTTAAGGACGGTAAGTGCCCCTTCCGCCCCTCCTCGTCATCACCTCGTTCTCCAGCTTCCTAAGCCCCACACAGAACGTTCTGCCTCAGGAGCAGCTGATCCTCGGGTGCACTCAATGCCAGGGGCTAAACGCTCACCACTCAATTAAAACAAAACAAGGCTAAGTAAAAATTAAAATGTGCTTTCAAATACGGAATGAAGTCAAATAAATACATCTGATTTTTTTTCTTTTTCTTACGTCTAAGTACAGTATCATATCCTACACCCAAAGCTCTATACATTTGGTTTTTGTTCTGAATGAAAATGAATTTCCCATCGCACGGGGTAGAGAACAAGAGAACAGGAATAGCCCCTCACTGCCACACTGGAGAGCGAGTCCCAAGGGGGTCCCCTGGAACGCAGCTAAGCCCAGATGGGGCTCACAGGCAGGCACTCTGTCACTCGTGCGCTCTCTGGGTCCACGCTGGAGCCAGGACATGGGGGTACACTGTGGGTGCTCGGACTCCAACAACCTTCAGTCCCTCCAAGAGACACACAGCGGCTCTAACTTTTATCTGAGGAAAAGAAGAGAGATGGTGGAGATCAAACTGAGAGAAAACAACAGATTAACCGCTGTACAGAACACTGAGCAACTCTGTGGGCAGGATTCTAGCTTTGTTTCTGGATCAGAGCAGCAGCTTCCCTCCCAGAGTATGTGAGAGGAGAAGCAGGGATAAGTGCACTGCGCAGCCCGGGAAAGGCACAACAGTCGCGCAGAGCGCCCACCTGATCTAAGACCCAGGAGGCAGCACAGGTGGGTGCTGCCTCCTGCTTCAGGACAGGCTGAGGCAGAGAGAAGGAGGTGGCCCGGGAACAGACAGCCAAGTGCCTCTTAGAGAAGTCAGACAGAGTCAGCACACAGCAGCCTCTGAGAGATCGACAATGTTTAGACGCAGTTTTGTTTTG